AAACCCAAACGCACTTACTAAATACATTACAAATTGGTCCTTTGGGAGGCGGTCGTTAAGCGGGGTCCACTGTATTATTGGATTATTAGTATATTGATATTAGTATTATTGGTATTATTAGTACGTATATTGATATTAGTATTATTAGTATATTGATATTAGTATTATTGGTATTATTAGTAGATTAGATTAGATTTTTTATTTTGACAAATTACGTGGTTGTACAGAGGAATATAACAGTTGAGTGTACATGGCAAAAGCCCCTCTGTATGCTGAGCATTTCGAGCAAACTTGAAGATTAACTTAAGAATAGTAAGGCAATAATACATAATTCATATGGTCATTAGATGAGTTAGAGTGAGTACAGGAGAATTTAATATTAAATCAGGTGATGCTACATGGTTCTGATAAGTCTAACAGAGACTTTTTACACTATTGAATTAGTAATAAAGATTATTGTATGACAATGTAACAATTTAAAACAATTTACAGTGTGATGTATCACAGTTTAGTACTGTTTAAAACAACGAAATTTGGTATTACAATGGAACAATTTACATTATGATGTACTGTATTACAGTCTACTACTATTTAAAACAGTGAAAAGAACAGACATCTTAATTTCAAAGTAGTAAGTGGTTGAGCATTCATCAGCACAATATGAGTAGCTTTTGAGAAACTGGTAGTGGTTAGGTATGGTTTGTTTGATTAATTTTGGGTGATGAGGTGATTTCTTATTTGGGCCTTAAACTGATTTGCAGACAGGGGATCTTTAGTTTGTTCTGCCAATGAATTCTAGGTCTTGGGCCTTTTACATGCATAGCTATTTTGCATAGGAAGGGGCGAACATGGGGAATATCGAAGAGTGATCTCTTTCTCGTATTATGGTTGTGTGTTTTGTTATAGTTATCAAGTACATATATTGATAGTTATCAAGCACATATATTGATATTAGTATTATTGGTATTACTATTGTTAGGGATAGTACTATTAGTATGTTGTTAGTATATTGATATACGTGGGTATACTAAGGACTATAAACACACACACACACACACACACACACACACAAAGTACAGTGTTCAGGCTTGTAGAAGCTGAGTATTGGCATTATTAGTATAGTATTGTTGTTAGTATTATTAGTACAGTGGAACCTCAACTTCTGAGCTCATCCATGTGTGAGTTTTTTCCAAATACAAGCAGTCAATGGTCAATTTTTGCTTCCATACGTGACCAAAATTTCCATAAGCGAGCAGACCTCAAGGTAGGTTCCTTGACGCTGGTGAGGGTTCTTGCTTTTGATCTAGGGAATTGTATCTCATTTGTTTGTTGGACTATTTTATTGAAACTTGGGCAACATATGATGGAAAGATGCTTCTTAATGTACACAAAAAAATGAAAGAAATCGGAGCATAAATAATGGAGTTCACTTCTCAGCAATTAGCCACCCTTAGCAGTACAGTGGACCCTCGACCAATGATATTAATCCGTTCCTGAGAGCTCATCGTTAATCGAAATTATCGGTAGTCGAGTTAATTTTCCCCATAAGAAATAATGGAAATTAAATTAATCTGTTCATGACACCCCAAAGTATTGAAAAAAAAAAATTTACCACATGAAATATTAATTTTAATACACACAAACTGAAGAAGACATGCACAGTTACATGACACTTACCTTTATTGAAGAGCTGGTGATGATTGATGGGATGGGAGGAGGGGAGAGAGAGTGTTAGTGTTTAGAAGGGGAATCCCCTTCCATTAGGACTTGAGGTGGCAAGTCCTTTTCCGGGGTTACTTCCTTTCTTCTTTTAATGCCACTAGGACCAGCTTGAGAGTCATGGACCTCTGTCGCACAACATATCTGTCCATAGAGGCCTGTACCTCCCGTTCTTTTTATGACATTCCTAAAGTGTTTCACAACATTGTCAGTGTACAGTTGCCAACACGCTTGCAGTAGATGTGTCAGGGTGATTTTCATCAAAAAAGGTTTGCACTTTAAGCCACATTGCACACATTTCCTTAATCTTAGAAGTAGGCAACTTCTTCAATTTCTCTATCCCTCCTCCGAAGCAGTTTCCTCAGGTGTGGCCTCTTGCTGTTAAAGATGATCTAGCAGCTCATCAGTGGTTAGTTCTTCATTGTCCTCCTCCACCCAAATTTTTCCACATCCTCCCCACTAACCTCCAACCCCAAGGACTTCCCAATGCCACAATGGATTCCTCAACTGGCATAGGATTCTCAGGGTTGGCCTCAAACCCTTAAAAATCCCTTTTGTCTACACATTCTGGCCACAGTTTTTTCTAAGCAGAGTTCAAGGTCCTCCTGTCACTTCCTCCCAAGCCTTACCTATAATGTTTAGACAATTGAGGATACTAAAGTGATCTCTCCAAAACTCTCTTAGAGTCAGTTGAGTTTCTGAGGTCACTACAAAGCACCTTTCAAACATAGCTTTTGTGTACAGGCTGCAGGAGAGGAGTGGTATTAGGAGGCAAAAACTTCACCTTAATGAAGCTTATGTCTGCAGAAAGTCACTCTACCAAGTCTGAAGGATGACCAGGAGCATTGTCTAATACAAAGAGGCACTTAAGGTCCAATTTATTTTCCAGGAGGTAATTTTTCACAGTGGGGGCAAATGCATGGCGTAACCAGTCATAGAAAAATTCCTAGTGACCCATGCCTTCCTGTTTGCCCTCCACAGCACACACAAATTAGCCTTGAAGACATTGTTTTTCCTGAACACTCTGGGAGTTTCAGAGTGATACACCAGTAAAGGCTTCACTTTGCAATCACCACTAGCATTGGCACACATCAACAGAGTAAACCTGTCTTTCATAGGCTTATGTCCTGGGAGTGCCTT